TTACTGACAAAAAGACAGTAATGTGGAAAAACGTCACACCCTCTTGGTGCCGTCTTCCCATTGATGGTGGTATGAACTTTAACATAGTCCTCAATCCAGCAAAATTACCAAACCTGGTCTGCTGCATTGATTGCATTTCCAAACTTCATTTTGTATTGTGTATCTGATGTTAAAATATCAGACCTCTGCTGTCGTCTACTGCTTTGCATTTGTTACATTTACAACACTAGAAGAGTCAGAGATGACAAGCTATAAACTGTATACCTTATTTTGTAACTCACTGTCATGTCTGTATCATGCGTATCATTCATTTAAGAGAATTCTTTAAGAAAAGCAGTATAAGAACATGTCCACAGATTTTTTATGATAACAACAGCAGACGGTTTTATCTGTAACTGTACTGAAAACCAAATGATAGTAGAGCACCTGAGTAGGCTGGTAATCAGAGACTAAAAATCCCATTATTCTTTAAATCGATACAATCATAAAATAGTTCTTTCTCACATAATTACAGGCAATGATGGATATTTATGATGCCAAAACTTAGAGAGGCTAACTCCAAGAAAAATTTATAAACTTCAGGTAGGCAATGAAAGGGAACATTTGAAAGCATGGAGACGCACCCTAAAGGAGAGAACCCTATTGTTCATTAACAATAAAGTTTAAGCACACAGCAGTCCCACTTTACTTCACTTTTACCAACTCGCAGTCAGTGCTTAAACCCCCTTTGACCCATGTCCTTTAAACCTTGTAAACTCTCCCGTGGGGCAAAAAGAGATGACGGCTCTCTAGTGGATGGGACTCATGGCCTACTGCCTATAGTCTTTGTGATGCAAACACCTGAGAGACTGACAGAGAGCCAGAAGTTCCAATTTTAAGAAGCCATTAAAAGACAGATAAAATCTATCAAAAGCTTTTGGCCAAATGATTACTAATAGGCACCAGGTTGGTGTCACTACACACAAGTATGAAGGTTTAAAGGGTTCTTACCGTTGTCTTCAACTGTGAAGTAAAAGATATCACTTGTGGCGTTGCTCCCATCCAGCAGCACATAACAAATCTTCATTTCATTGATATCGGCTGTATAGAGAACCAGACAGAGTGTTAGCTAGAAAGGTTTTTTTTTTACAAGGTTTTCATATGAAGACATAATTCAAAGTAGTATGCCAAGTGAATATTTGATCAGTTACAAAAAATATTAACAGAACTATACTGTATGTGCATTAGTATGATTATGAGCATGGTTTTTATTAAATATACATGGCATCCTATTTTTTCTTTGCAATTAATTGCAACATGCCAAAGTTTCTGACTAAATATCTGATTTGCACTGATCTGAAAACCCTTCTTTTGCTCATCAGCAATACATAATTTTTATTATGCCAGGGAAATATTACTACACATGAGCATTACATGATAATGAACCTTTGTATTAGTGTTGCATTTGTGTTAGTTCTTTTGGCCACTTGGGAGCAGCTGAAAAAGCTGTAATTGAGCCAACTCTTTCATCCTCAAATTTCAGCAACTTTTAATCAGTGTTAATATACGGTGTGACATTTGCTTACCTTGGGTGAAGGTTTTGATGCTGTCATTGCCCAGGGCAGTGTTCATGATGAAGCCATGTAGAGGAGCCTCAGACACACTGTATTTCAGAACTTTCTGGGGACTGTCGCGATCCTCTGATCGAAGGACCTTGCTGGTGATCACAAAGCCTAGATGGCCTGTCTGCAGGACCTTAAGTGAGGCTGCAGCCTTGTTGACTACAATCTGGGGCACACCATTGTCCACTGTGTTTATATAAATGGTCATCATTTGAGGCTTGCGTGTCTCATAGACGGTGTCAGGAAAGAGATAAAAATCATTATGCGTGCCATCTGTGACAGTGAAAGAGAAGCTGTCTTCGTTAGTCTCAGTACCATCATGCTTATAGCTAATAAGGTTCTCATTCAGGTCCTGCTTGGTAAAGGTTGTGATTGGTTGGGTATTGTTGAAAAGCAGCTGTCCGTGGACGGGCACCTGTGTGACTATGAAGCGCAGCAGGGTGTCTGGGGTGTCCCGATCCTCGACTGTTAACTCAAATGGTGTGATGAGCTTGGTTTCTCCTTCCTCCACAACCAGCCTGTTTATAGTCAGCACAGGTTTCTTATTATCTACATCAGTGATGGACACTCTGAAGGTGCGGAAGACAGGATTGTAACCATCTGTCACCTCAAACTCAAAGCTGTCCATTTTCATCTCATCATCAGAGGTGTGAATGTAGTAGATCTTGTTGCCAGCAAGCTGCAGTTGGGTGAAGGTAGAAATGGGAACACCTGGATGGTCAGTACTCTCTAAGTGGCCTCTACTAGGTGCTCTTGTGATGCTAAAGCTGAGGTATTCATCGGGACTGTTGATATCAGAGGTGCTGAGGAGGTCAGTGGTAAGTGTGACTTTCCCACCTTCCTTGAGAGTTACACCTTTATTGATAACATCTGGAAAGACCATGTCAATGCTTCCAATGTTGATGTAAAAGTACCGGTCAATAAGGGGATTGATACCATCTGTGACATCAAACTTCAACAGGTCACGGATTCCCTCTTGGCCTATGTGTACATACTGGATGAGTTGTTTGTCAATTTCATCCTGAGTGAAGTTCATTCCTAGGGTTATATTACCTAAAACATCACCAAACTTGCTGATGCGCTGAAGGTAGCCTTGGCCTGGGCCATAACGCACAACATAAATTAGCTCTTTGTCCTCAGAGTCAAGATCTGTTGCTTTTAAAACCCTGTTGCTGATGACTTTTGTCTCTCCAATCTCAACATCGAGGCCATCATTTATGGCCATTCTTGGAGTCTCGTCATCAACAGGAATAATCATGATAAGAACCTTTTTTTCCACTTTGTGCTTCCCATCTGAAAGCCTGATTTCAAAGCTATCTTCTTTGGTCTCAGAGTCATCATGTTCATAGACAATGTTTGATGCCTCTTTGATCTGTTCCAAGCTGAATTTATCCAGAGGGACAGTGCCAGTACTGAGCTGTTGAACTATTGCACCATGCTTGGGATTTTTGATTATCTCAAAGTGCAGCTCATCCCCAGGGATGTCAGCATCAGCTGCATTAAGGATAGGTGTGTCAATGACCAGACTCATACCCTCCATGACCACAAACTCACGAATGAAAATCTCAGGCTTCTCATCATTAGCTGGAATGATGACTATAGGAAAGAAGTGGCGTTCAGAGAAGTTTATACCATCTGAGCAGCGGAAGGTAAAACGATCTTCTACAGGTTCAACACCTTTATGGATACTTTGAACATAGTAAATATGACCAAGGGCAACATCTTCAATGTTAAAGGCAGTGATGGCTGTCCCTGCTCTTGACTTCTCTGAGCCTGTGGCTGGGGAGATGTTCTCCACGTAACCGGATTTTGGTTGGACAATGATGGTGCACAAAATATCATCATTGGCTGTGTCAATATCTTCAGCTTGGATGTGGTCTGGAGTAATAACATTTTTCTCCCCTTCCACAACAACAAACTGCTCTCCAACACTGACAACAGGTGGAATGCTGTCAACAGGAAGGATGGTGACATGAACTGTCACACCTTGAACCTTGTTGCCGCCAACAACCCACTGATTTGACATATCAGACAGAGTAAGATTAAAGGAGTCGTGTACTTTCACCGGTCCAATTTCACCGGATGTGTGAGCATATACCACAACCCCATTAATAATGTCTTCCTGGGTGAATCTTTCAGCGGGAGCACCATTAACCAAAATTTCACCTAGCATGGGAGGTTCTTCTACAATAAAAGTGAGCATACGGTCATCTGTGTCTTCATCACGGCCCTGAATGACATTGCTTGTAATTTCTGTTGCCCCATTTTCCAGTACATCAATAGAGGCTCCAACTAGGCCAGCTGGAAGCATAATTGTTGGGGTCTCATCATCAACTGGCTCAATGGTGATCTTAATATTGATGGGTACCTCATGGAAGCCATCAGTGACATCAAGCTTGATAACATCGTTGAGGGACTCCTGTCCACTGTGGATGTAACTTAGGCGCCCATTTGTTATGTCTTCAAGTACAAAAGTTTCACCATTAGACATATCAATGCCCAAATACTGCAGCTGTCCAAAACGAGGAATTTGGGTCACAGTGAAGATGATATTCTCATCATCTGTATCCATGTCAGTGGCATGCAGCTCCTTCCTAGTGATGATATATGTACTTCTTTCCATAACAGTAAAACCTGTGTTGGTGATCACTGGGGGTTTGTTGTCAACTGGCTTTAGGAAAATGGTGAACAGTCCATCTGCTGTGTTACCAGCCGTATCTTCCACAATGAATGTGAACTGAGCTACTTTTGGGGTGATGCCCAGTTCCTGGTCTGGAGGCTTGTAAGCTACTTTGTGGTGATTAACCTGGGCCTGTGTGAATTCTGTAATTACAGTGTCGGGCCTGTCAGTCAGAACAATTTCACCTAAGAGGGCTGGATTGTTCTCATCAGTGTCAGTTGGAGGTTTTGTGATGGTGTATTTCAGGTCCCTGTCATCTGAATCTAAATCTGTATAACACAAAAATTTCTTCCTGAAGTGTGTCAGCTCATATTCCTGAACTGTCATGTGAAGTGTGGTGCCTGGGAAAAGCTCTGGGGAGAGGTCATCAACAGGGTGGATTTTGATTGTGAACTTGTGCTCACCTGACTGATTAGGAGGATCATTATCATCTTGGACTCGAAAGACAAAGTGATCAATCACAGTAGTGGTGCTATGGGGTCCGATATGACGATAGAACAGCTTACCATCAAGAATATCATGCTGAAACCACTCAGTGACCACCTGTTCAAACATCTCATTTGTCTCACTGAACTTCCACTGAGAAGGGTCAGAGGGAGGCTCCACTTGCCTTAGCAGGAGCTGTCCTACGGTGGAATAGGGTTCTTCCAAAATAAATTTAATTGTGGAGTCTTCTGAATCAATATCTGTGGCACTCAGGATGAAGGGAGAGATCTGCATAACTTCATTCTTGAAAAGCATCAAACCAGTATTAGCATTGATAATAGGTGGTTCATCATCAGTGGGAGCAATAGTGATGGGGAACAAAAACTCCACTTCATTACTTCCATCAGTCATTCGAAAAATAATGTTGTCACTATAGGTATCACTGCCATCATGCTGGTACACCACAATGCCAGCATCTAGATCAGCTGGTGTAAAAAACTTCCTATGAGTCCCGAGCACAGACAGGGCTCCATGCTTTAAGCCATCAATAACTGTGATTCTCACATCTTCTAGGTTATCCTCATCACTAATCTCTAAATTCTGGGAGCTGGAGAGTGCTCGGGACTGCCCCTCAAACAATAGCTGCCCTGTATTTTTGGTCGCTACAGGGGCCAAGGTATTCATAGGCTTCACCACAATCATAAAAGCAAATGTATCAGACACGGCACCATCAGTGTCTACAATTTCAAACTCTAGCTGGAAAATCCTTTCTACTTCTGAGTCCTCTGAGGGTGGTTTATAAGCTATTTTAAGATCTTTGATGTCTCTCTGATAAAAGGAGGTTATAGGCAGGTTCTGATCATCTGTGCTGATGATATAGCCCTGCTGAGGGCTCAGCGGTGAAGTAATGTTGAAGATTAAATCATCTGGGTTAGATTCAACATCTTCAGCAGCCAGCATGTCATTTGTAATAGCTGTCATTACAAACTGATCAACCTCCATCATCATCATGGCTACAAAGCTGGGTTTAGGAGCAGTATTCTCTGCACCCTCTTTTATTCTAACCATCACTTGAAAATGCTCTTGCATTATAGTGCTGCCATCATTATCTTGCAGCTCTACCATCATTGGAATATAGTCTCTGTTTGGTGAATGAGTTTTAGCTGTGTGCTTGTAGCGAATGCCTTGTTTTACAAACTCATCACAGTCAACCATTTGGCCATTGTTGGGATTATTCAGAAGGGTGCCATACCTGGGAAGACCTCCAGCGCCAACTAGAGTGGTGATCTTACACTGAGTGACACCATCCTCAAAGGAAAACTCTAAACCCTTGTTGTCAATAGGGTTGCTGTCACCACTGAGCTTTTCAACATTAAGAGGCATATTCCTGATGAGGATCTCAAGCTGCTTGAAAACTACCTCCACTTCCAGCATGAAGGGTATGATAACTGTGTCAGTCTGGGAGTCATAGCGAAGCTGTAGCTTCACACGATCCTTGCTGGGGCTCCGAGATCCAAAATGAGTATATTTCACTTCATCCGGTCCAAATGAACAGGGGAACTTTTTAGGAGTCAGCATCCCAGGTTTCTGGGCCAGTGGGTCATTGTCCAAAACTGTGATATGGCAGCGGTCACCAGGACGTACTTCTGTTACCAGGTCATTTAAAGGGTCCAGATACACTGACCTCCCAAAAGGTACCCTGATCCCATTGTTAGCGATGATGATGTTATCTTCATTAGGTCCAGATCTGTGGCGATAGAGGTGAACTGGAACAAATGGGTCTGAAGCTACCGAGGTAAAACAGAAGCTAAGACAAAATGTCACAAAAAGGTATGTGAAAAGTGCCCACTTTTTACAAAGTTGGGAACTTTGCAGACAACCAGCCATATCCAGTGCTAGTTGCCTTGCAATATATTTTATAAGTCAGCAGTACCAGGCAGATTCCTTTCCCAAGAGGGGAAAAAGCATCAAAAAAGAAAATCCTCTGTGATGGTTTGGGACTTGGAGTCTATCCACTGTCTTGCTTCCTGTTTCTGTGTGGCCACACAGAGACACAAGTGTGGTGAATGCTGCAGGGGTGTGCAGGTAATAATGAAACAGTAGACAGTGGCAGGCACAGGCTCCTCCTTCTGTCAGTGCAGGGAGGGAGCCTCCTGCCCCCATGGCTAATTTAAGAAGGACCATTGGACAAGACTGTCAAAGTGCTCCCCCAACTAACACCCACTCATCTCTCCTCACAGGAGAGAGAGAGAGAGGGAGAGAAGGAAAAAAGGAGTAAAATCCATTGCAAAAACTAATTTATTCAAATCAAATGAAATCTGTGCTGCCACAACCATTGTCTATGTTTTATTTAAATTTTAACAAAGTTGACAAAGTTTGTGAGTATGTTATGTGTTTATTTATTATAAAATTTGTAAGTAGGGAGAGTGGCCATATTGTTTTATTAATAAATTGAAAAGAAATATGACCGCTAATCAATCCTTGATCTTTCCGAGATGCACTTTTGGAAAATACCATGCAATTATACATGAACATTATACTGAGTTTTTTTTCCTTTATTGGAGTCCATGATATCCATCCTGTCCAATGAGAAAATGGATTAATAAGGCTATCTTTGAGCCACTTGTGCATTTAAGCTGACTAGGTAAAGCAATAAACATCCATATTTGTGGATATTTAACACTTTGCTTAGGCTTAAGTTGATTTTGGTCAAATGGTTTTACAAGTGTTTTAAAAGTCACTTTGAAGCCAGATATATGCTCTTATGTATCATCACTGACCTGTGTGATTTCACACGCTGCTTTAGAGGGGGATGAGGGTGGTCTTCAGGGGTGGGAACTATGTAAATGAAGGAAGAAATCCCCTATTATAGTTCCAGCAAAGTCTCTGTGCGAAGGTCAAATCTGGCATCCCAGCACTCCTTTACTAACCAAGTGTAGCAGAATTTATTTTGCAGAACTTACATAGCTGAACTAACTGAAGTATAATAGGTTATTTTGATTGTTTGCTCTGGTCTATCTTAAGAATACTTGTAATTAAATAAAAAAATGTAACACCTTAAACATGTTACAAGACCTCAAACATGGGTTTGAGGTCTTATCAATGAAGAAAAATGTAAAGGAGTTTGTAATTACTAGTAACAAAACTGAACTATACAATACTAATATTGTCTGTTCACAAGTTAGAAGTCATCTGAGGTTGTGTCAGTGGGACACCGTGGCACCAGAGTGGTCGTTTGGTCCACAGTGGTGGACAATAACCTGGCATCAGCTGGCAGGACAGGTGTATGGCCACTGCTTGGTCTCTCACTCTCTCTCTCTCTCTCTCACACACACACAGGAAAAAAAACTACACAACTGAAAATATTGCTTAAATGCTCAGAGTTTTGTCAGGTTGCTAAGATTTAAAACATTCCTTATCTTATCATGGAAGTGCCAGTGAGTAACTTAGACTATATGATGCAGGATGATGACTTAACCCTAATGATGTTGACCCTAAACCTATATACAAAATGTAAAATGAAGTTCAAATAACATTGTAAATTTTATCTTGGCAATGAAAGCAATGAAGAAAACATACTGTATGCAATAGGCTTTTTCTGCAGTGCTGCTGACAAAGAACTACAGCATGGAGAATCCAGCAGTCAAAGTGGATGCAGCGAGAATGTGAGTATGTGTACTCAGTATGGTGCACAAGGTCATGTTAAGATAAAAATACCTAGTAGCCTTTTATGGATCATCTTTTGAGTCGAGGCTGACACTCGATGAAGCGATATGTGTGCATTGCTCAAACATTTTGACACTGTGCTTTCTACAGCAGTCTTTGAAATTTCAGAATTTTTTTTTTTACATTTTACTGTCACTGGCGTGGTCATGGGACATTACTAATCTTATAGTCAGTTATGTTTTTAAAATAAATAAATACACCTGTAAATTCATTATGTCTTGCTCTGATAAAAGTTGTTTATGATCACAAGAATACAAGACAAACTCAGTTTTTCAAAGAAAAATGGTAGGACACCTTTAAGTAATTAATAGATTTGGTTTGATTTAAAACACTAAAAACAACCATTTAAATTATAATCCTGTTAGCGTTCCTCTGTTTACCGGACATGATGACACCTTAAGGACAACACTGAACCACTCAGCAACCTTTTCTTAAGTGTGGGGCAAATAGCAGGGATGCCATACGCATCCAGGCATTCTGCAACATACTTTTTTTGCATCCTCTAAATAAATGTTGCCCTCCTCACTTGACCAGCTAAGAATAAAAAGAGGGCACACATTGCAGGGTGCAACTATAGAAACAAACACAGCAAGACTTTTACACTGCCAGATTTCACTCACATTCATCTAATGGTGAGGAAGTGTACTGTGAAATAGTAAGACCCACGGGTTTAAAATAGAGACTTATCATATGTGTTTGGATCAAAATTCTTGTAAGAAAGGGAGATTTTTTTTTTATATAGACTCTGGGGGCATGAAAATGAGAAACGGTGCTACCCCTCTTGACACAAGTGAGTGGAAACTAGATACTGAATACATCAGTTGTCAAGCATTCATTTAGTCAGTAGCTTGCATTTGTCCAGTTTAGACATTTAAGATGACATGCCTTTAATGAGCATCTAGGGTAAACAGAGAGAGAAGCTGTGTCGAGGCCAGGCCCTGGTAGCCTGGATCAACTCTTCACCCAGGGGACAGCTCATGATGACAGCAGGCACTAATGGCCTCATAATAGATGGGAAACAAAGACTTGATTTATCGCATCACTGTATCCTCAGCAGCCACCCAGTAAGACAGGATTTGCTCTCTTTTCCCTCAGTGCAGTTGTCACATTTGTCAAGATTTAGCTGCGTTCAGGTCCAGGTCACCATCATTTTTGTGGTCCATTTACTTTAACACCACATTTGTGGACAGAAGTGCTTGAAAGTAGTAGAGATAGTTGTGATGATAACTTTGCTGGTACCTTATAACTTTAAAATAAGGTATCAAAATACATGTAAATAAAATATAGCTTCATCATAAGACTTAACAGATTCTCAGTGGGAAATTCACAAGCTCCCCAGCAGTAATTCAAATTAGTATATAGTCCTAAAGTAATTAATATTTGCTCCACCTTTACCAGCTGCAACATTAAATGTGATGTAATGCATCAATAATTATAATCCCATAATAGGACATGAAGAAATATAAAATGTGCCATTCTGCATAATGAGTACTTTTATCTTATATTTTAATAATTTTGTACCTTTACATACTGTAAGTAACATTTTCTGTGCACAAGTTTTACTTACTAACAGAATATTTGTACACTGTGGTATTGCTACTAGTCCTTCTTCCACCACTGAAAATATGACTTAATAAACTTAAATCATTATAACATTCCACAAATTATCACACTGACAGAAGCATTAACGGATGTTTTCACTTCATAAAAAGCAACATTTCTGTTGATCATTCTTCATATTCTGCGTGTGTTCATAACACATTTTGTCTTTAATGGACCAGAAACATTGACTGACCTGCAACAAAGAGCCTTTTACAGTATATAAAAAAACATGAAATGCAAAAAATCTTGAACATCTAATTGTGATGATTTCAAACTTTCAACCAAAAACATTTAGAGGTGTGCTTTTATGCGCTTGTGTTTTCAGTTACATGTTTTCTTGGTTGTTTTTGGTTTGTATATAATGATTGTCCTGCTGTTTTCAAGTGTCTCTTGCAAAGGAGATGTCAGCTGTACCTGATTAAGCAAAGTTTATTAAGAAAAAAAGTTAAAGGAACAACAGCAAAATGTGTCAAGCAGCTCTGACAGATTATATGAATACACACTTCACCATCAGAGAGGTGGCTCACCCTGGATAAACTCCTTGTTTTCTTAGAATAGCCAAAGAAGATTTCCCCTACATTCTCTTTGCTCTTGCAGTACTTGCTAGTATCCTAATCATCCGGCCTGTTGTAAATATACACAGTATATAAATAGGGGATACTGAGACCTCAGACATTTGAATCCAGTTCGGTGGAGGAAGAAGTTTGTGTTCTGCTGCACTGGATGGTTTGACAAGGGTGTCCATGACTGCGGTCAGGTTTGATGGGGTACATGCACAAATTTTAGAACCGCTCCTGCCATCACTGCTGCACCACAGGCTCAGTGCAACATTTCATCTGCTTAATGGTGGATTAAAACATCCTGTGGGCAGATTGATATAGGCTGGTGCTATCACTTGTTTTCAAAGAAGAGCGGAAGCCCATGGAAACAGGCTGGATATAGCACCTGGATCAGACCCAAACACTGGGCAACCCATCACTGTAGATGGAAATAAAATATTATATGCCTTAGAAAATTGAACAGGAGGCTAAAGCCGTATATATATAAATTGGGTGTTGCTTTAGTGATGAACTCCAACACTGACACATTTAAGGTATAGCATCTTGAAAACATGCCTTTTCTATCCGAGTCCATGTTTAAAGTTTTATTAGCCCCACCAGTGACACTACGCTACACTACACTACACATTCACTACTAGACAACATTGGTTCCCGGCTCAGGAATGTGTGTGGCAGTGTCAGGGGATTCCTGTCCTTTAACATGACCACCTTAGACTAAATGTGTTCGCAGCCGGAACTCATGTTTGCTCTTTGAGTAAAACAAGTCAGGGGCAGTCTGAAGAACCATTGGTAATGAGCAGCCGAGATACAGCATGATGGGCAAATGCTAGCTGCAAACCCCAAACCGATCAAGACCAACTGTAACTAATGGCAGATAATGCCAAAAACATGTGGGACAGAGTTAGAATACTTTTATTTAATACACTCAAATGACATTCACATCATAGCACTTTCTTAGCATAACAGACACTTTAATACTACTGATAAAATGAAAAAGCAAAATGCAGCATCTATAATAAAAACATTGCTTCTTAAACAGATACAAGAACAGTGATTTAAATCTGGCAAACCTATACTATCTTGCTTATTTATATATCATATCATATTTTACAAATATGTACCAAAAATACTCATGAAAAAGCCCTTGTAATGTTTTGCCATGAACTTTAAATAATGTGTAAAGAGCAGTTTTAGACTAAAAGGTTACAAGCCTACTGTATATTTAAAGCTACGATAGGGAAATGGCAGTGCATACTGACTGCTAATGCTTGTATTTATACTTACACTGAAATATAACAATGTTCATGTATGTACACTTAAATCACCATCAATAAGGTGACTCATAATAATAATTAAAAAAAAACTTTTATATTAAAGCAAAATTGTACCAAACCAATTAACATTTAGTCTATAAATCCAGTAAATCTTGTTTTCAAAACACTTTTGATTAAAATTCAGTGATGAGTAAAATGTATAAAAAGCTGAGCTCAGCCCGACATTTAGTTTTGAAAAAGCTGCTGTGTTACAACAAATTACCTTCCGACAGGAGAGCAAATATTTTTCACAGTTTCCACTGTGGTCACTTCACCTGACGAGTCTTCAGTCTGAAAAACGAAAGCAAAAGGCACAGAACCGTGAAAACAATGTACCCTGTCCCACACACACACATTTATCCTGCAATCATCTACTTTTTACACTTGTAACTTCTGCTTCAGTCAGGTTTATGTGGCATGACCTTTGTCCTCTATGTAGAAACATCTGTTTTAAGGACAAGATTGCTGACATTATCCAGCTCCACATCTATTGATGTGATTTATGTTTAATTATTAAGTGGCTGCAAAAACCAGCATCGTCCCTGAGGCAGACATTACAGAAGCACTGGGAGAATTCTCCTGAAGATGTAATTATACTTCCCTTAATGGTCTTTTTACAACCATGGGTTCATGGCTGATGCTTTTCAACAGGCTTTAGAGCCTACTGATGTATTGCAATTTGACAATCATTCAAACCCAAAGGATTCTGTCAAAGAGTTGCTTTGTTTTCACAGCTTCCCATTTTAAAATTGATCTGAGTTCATCTGACCTGCATCCAATATAAAAGAGTTTGGTTTCAGGCCAGTAATGTGACTGCTGGGGCTACTAGCCTATACCAAGCCACAGGGACAGATAGGGATCTGTGGAGACCAGTCTGTCACTATAGTGAAACCTGGCTGCTGAAAGACTGTGCATTCCAAGGGGGATTTAGTAGCATGAAAGAAAATGCTCAACAGAATCCCATGCAAAGATGTTCATCTCTCTTAGTCACACACAAATAGAAAACTCACAGATGCCATTCAGGTATAACAATGAGACTTTGTGAAAACCATTTTTGATGTTTTTGCTTCAGAAAAACATGACATCTTTAATAGCTATTGTGTCTGAGCTCAAGGTGACATTAAAGTAGCATGTGCAAAAACACATATCATACATAAGCTGAGTTGCACCCTTCAATTTTATTTATCTCTCCTCTGTAGGAAGTACACTGCTCCCTAAAAGAGCCACGCATTGACTGTGTAATGAACAACTACCATCCCCTTTAAGTTTAGAGCGTCAACACTGGATTAGTCCTGAACAAAGCCATCTGTCACTCTGTACTGATCAATGCCTGGTGGCTTAATATAGTGTGGAACATGTTCAGGCTTGATGCTTAGTTTTCAAAACAATTCTTGGTTGTTTCAACAATGTTCCAACATTATCCACACATCAACTTGTATCACATGAAAGGAAACTCAAGGTTTATCATTTTTAGGAACTTTCACTCAGTATCATCCAAATTTCCACCTGAGCCCAGTAGCCCACTATAAACTGGACATGAATGATGACAGACAGACAGCAATAAAGCCAGTGTGCAAGTGTGAAGGTTTGACACTGCCCGAGGAATGTGGAGCCAGTGGAGATAGCAGCAGATGGATGAATGTGCATCTGTCCTCAGGCTTCCTGATCACAGCAGCCCTGCCAACTGCATAAAGCCAGCCCAGGAATGTCTACACTAGCCTGGAGACGACAACATGGGAGGAACTTGTCCCTGCAACAGTGGATGTCATGGGGTTTGCCTTGTGGGGGAGTCACGAGTCACTGAAAGCAGCAGTTGTATTGGGATTTAGGCTGCAGTCATAAAAGTGGCTATATCCTCATGTTGTGTTCATCTTTTTAAAATTTAAGGCTTTAGCCATTTTTATTCTCTACACATGACATCTACTGCATGTCAGTCCATCTTGGAAGAGGGATCACTCCTCTGCTACTCCTCCTGAAGTTTCTTACATTTTTTTTTCTGTTAACGGGTTTTTTAGGTGGAGAGTTTTCTTTTACTGGACTGAAAAGTCTAAGGACAGACAGTGTTGTTCAGATTTTAAAGCCTCTTGAGGCAAAGATGTGATTTATGATAGTGGGCTATACAAATAAAAACTGACTTGACCAGGCGTGCTAGCATCTAGGCATCTCCCCCACAACACTTGCACTCATGCAGCCCTGTATCAGCACATTTCTTAGTCGCTACTGTGCAATCATTTTAACAGTATTGGGGCCAGGTCTATGTTAAACATGCTAGACCCCATTTCATCCAAATAAATGTATTTTGTTTTAATCAGTTGATTTTCACCAGGCCTCTTTTTATGTAAATTGGTAAACTTTATACTTGCCGTTTTGTGTAGTTTTCTGAACAATGTGTTTATTGTTGGATGCTTCATGCAATAGCCTATCCCTCACACGGTTTGATCAGTCACTGAAACACCAGTTTACACAGATAATCTGTCATCAGGTCAAAATTTCAGTGTGTTAACAATGTCATTTGTCATTGTCATGCAAGCATTTACGCAGCTCTCAGCAGCGTTGTGTCTGAGTACGGCCTTACAGAGTCATTAGCGTGGCTGTTGACAGCCTTTTTTTTTTTTTTTTTTTACTTTTACAGTGGTTTAAATGATGTATGAATTCTAAAATTTCAATCAGGACAAATATGCTAGATTGTCGATGCATATTCAAGCTTACAAATCTACAAATGAACCATTAAATAAGTTGTTGTGGAGCTTGCCGACCTATTTTTGGGTGAAGACAGATCAAGAGATAACGGATTTCTCCAATCTCTGCAGCATCATGTTAACATTTACTTAACCCTGCCCCCAGGAAACCAGCAACATACACTAAGCTCAGAACGCCTGTGCATCAGCTATCGTGACAAATTTCTAAACTACAGCAAGTTGTCATTACTTCAGGATGAACTGGACAGCTGTTTCCTCTACAAGGTAAGCTGCAAAAAAGATCAGAGCAGTGGTAGGTAGGCAGAGTAGAGGCAGCTTGACACGCTGACTGACTGAGTGCTAACTTTATTCTGACAGACTGTTTTCACTGTCATTCCCCTCCTCTGTTTTCATTGTTGAGAGACATGCAGCATAGTGTGATACCATGCACTACTATGTTAGGCCATATAAATGTGCAGCAGGCCAACTGCCAAAGTATGGATTAAAGTACAAAGGAAGAATATATAAAATGTGACGGCTTTATTGTAAAATATCTATGGTGTAAATAGTGAAGGTCAAGCCTATTTAGCCTAAAATAAACTGGTGTAGGTAAGGCCATAAGTAAGAAGTCTTTTAAAAATAACAAAAATAAAACGTATCCTGGAGAAAGAAACCCACTGTAAGGTGACATCAAGGCCAGCCAGCTAAAAGGCAGTTTTTCATGTCTCCCTCTATGTTTCTCATAAAATATTTCCATTTTTTCAGGTTCTGTCATGTGCAGTTGTTTTTGTTGAAATGAATCCTGGTTTGGGCTTCACATCACCTGCTACGCATCCAGTTCTGCAGGGACTTGCTCAATAACAGGCAAAGAATGTGGGCCAGTTGACTCTGACATTGTGGCCACATTACTCTCCTGCAGTTACTGTGTACCCTTCAATTAGAACTGTCTGACCTATGACCTTTCGAAAGGACTTTGACCCAGAACCACTGGAGGTAAAGGGACCACATAAGGAAGATTAATACACCGTATGGTTTTGACACAGGAAGCTAACGTGCGAAGTTCAATACAGCGTACAGACACCAGTAGGTATCAATCTGTAATGACATCATGCTGAATTAGTTTCAGTTTAAAGACTATCAAGTTGACCTCATTTGTCATTGTCTTAGATTATTTTTTACACATGCACACTACCACAGAAAAGGCCCAGTTTAAAAACAAACTGTCTCTTGACATATTTTCTAATACGTATCCTCAGACACTACTGTCAAATTTACTCTCTTTAAATTTTATAAACGCCACTTGCAGAGTATGCCTGGAATGACTAGCAAACATATTTTACTTACACTAAACCTTTTACAAGTGAAACTGAACACTATTCAAGTTGCACTATTAACAGCTCTGTTTCTGCCACAGATTCTTCTTCAGGTCAAAGCCCCCCAAAAAACATGATGTTGAATCTGAAACATTTCTCCATTACATTAAATATTTATGAACAAATAAGTAACCAATCAAAGTTAAAGTTTATAAAAACATTCCAAAACCCACAATCATCAACCTCACAGTGATGAGGTAAAACTGTATGGTTCACCTTCTGGACAAAGGTTAAAATAACTGCTGCCAGTCTTTATACTAAACTAAGTTTAAATATTTCTTTAAGAGCTACAACTATTGCTTCCATATAAGACATGTTTCACTGATAGTTTTTCAGTAGAAGCTAGCACATATAATTCTCAGTCCAGTTTTACTTCTATGTTCCCCAATTAATGTGACTAATAGTTATTCATTTTCATATATACACATTAAAGCTTTATCAAGTGAACATTAAACTGCCTGTGTTCACCTTGACCTCTGCCACAGAACATGCAAGCTGCACTTCAGACAGTTCTGTTCATACCTGCTGCTGTTTGTGTTGCTAAGACATAAATATAAAAATACAGTTCTGCTGGCATCACTAAAAATGTTGATGTTGTTATAGAGTATGTTGCCTTATTTGTGTCGAAATATGCTGTACTCTGGTGGAGGAAATGATTTCCACATGAGGAAATTTTAACTGAATTAATTAAGTCTTATATGAACATAGACTTTGTTGCCATAAAGAAAAAATGTTTAATCATTAGCAGAAGACCCTTCCCAATGAATCTGAAGACAGAGCTGACATTAGAGGCCCAGATGTATTTATTGCCTTACAAAGCTTTGTAGGTTTACACTAATAATGTGAAAACACTCCAGACCAAATACATGCCTTTTTATGAATGCCTGCTGGTGTGTGTTTGCCAGGATGAAGGTGTGTCTGAGGATCACTGCCTATCCCAAAACACTGAATGAGAGAGCATCAAAGTGATGCTTTTATGAAACTAGTGATTGTACCCTAACAGAACATTCCTTTTGGATATCTCATGTCTTATTTAATTTTTTAAAAGTGAGGCTTTGAAAGAATATAGGTCAACATTTCATCACAGCATATTCACCCAAGAATATACCTGGAGCTTAACAAAACAATGCAGTGTCCAGGTGCAAGGTCCACCTTTGTACATTCATAAAGGAGCTTATTAAATCTTGAGGTCTAAGCCAGAACATCAAAGTCAACAAGTTCTTCACATGGAAAAATAGACACTGTCGTCTGCCTCAAAACTGCATGCTCAGCAAATACTGCAGGCGTAGCCCTTTGAAGACACGAGTCAAACTGCTATTGTCACTTTGCAAACGTGAGTTTTAGTTTCCAATTTTTGAACCAAAACTTTAAGTCCATTCCTCCGTACACAGGAGTAGGAGACCTAAAACAGCACCCACCAGCTGTTTCCTTAGTGTGGTGTGAAGGGAGTGTCCGTCTGTGCTTAGCAACAGTCCCTCCCTACCGTAAAGCCAGCCAGGTGTAATGGCCAACCTGCAAGACTGAACCACATCAAACCTTACAGGCAGGAAGCTCTCCTTCACTGTTATTACTGAGACAGCGATCCTGTATTCACCACATCCACCACTGTCATTCTGCCCATCGTACGTCTGTGTCTAAACCTGCAATAATGGCCAAGGAAATGACTTTTGCTATCAGTGGGAAGAGCAAAAAAGAGACGTAGCTAAAAAAAGCTTAATAACTATATACATATTTTATGGTTTTTCATAACATTTCTGCCACACACAAAGGCTCATGAGAGATAAACTACACTTCAGCTTCAGATCCACTGACCCTTATCAACTCTGTGACCTGTCTCTGAAGCAACTCCTTCCAATAAGTCTCCTCAAATAAAACAAGCTGCTTCTGGTTAACTACTAGCTCCATTTGTCTCACACAGTTAAATCTCAGTTTGACACCAAGCTTTTCTGTTTCACCTGCCTCCCGCTCCCTGTGAAATCCCAGGCGGTACAGAAAGCTTCCTGCAACATTAGTCATCAACATGAAAGCTGACCTCTGGCTGGGAAATAACACAGTGAAGTTGCAGGTCTAATTATGCTTGTTTAGTTTATGACCCGTCGGTTCATATACATTATTCTCCGTCGTAGGATGAACAGCCTTTCAACTTCAGTTTCCAGCTTGCTCATCACTTCCCAAACCAGGTGTGAACGAGTGAAGAGCTCACTTTTTAATTTTGTGGGCCATTTTTGCAAATGGCATTACTTACTGTTTACAGTGAGTTCTCATTGTGTTATTATGCACAGTAAGTAGCCATATAGTCATGTGAGCCACAGTGTGAAAAGATTCAGTTGTTTATAAAGGTATTATCTTTTACATACAGTTTAAAAATCACTTAAAGACTGTGGACCCCAAAAAAGACAGTAGCATCAGGTTTTGCACAACTATTATGTTACATGCTATCAGATACTGGTATTAAGACAGCCCACAAATCCCTCAGATTTCTTTTGAAAGATTATTATTCTGTTCAAAAGTTAACAAGTAATGATGTTTACTCACTTTAAATCCTAAAATAATGCTCATTTAACTTTCTCTTTGTGTGAAAGGTGCTGTGTAGAGTAAATATTATTATTAAATGATGCAAATGTTACACATTAAAAACTGAATTTTTTCACAGCACACATTTTGACATGTCGCAATAGGAAAAGCTTAGGTGTAAATAAAAAAAAATGATGATGGCTGAATTCCATACAGGTGCTTCTGTTTCAGGGTCCTTTGTTGCTTCTTTGGCGTCACTGGCACACTTGAATAAAATGGAGCCACCAGTAATGTTACTAACAGGACTTGTGGTTTTCCTGTGACATGGCCTGAATGGAAGCATATTTTAGTGAAATAGCTTATTTTCTCCGTTTATAGTTGTTCTCTTACTATATAGACAGATAATTAGAAATAAACTCTAAAACTCTCTGACTTTGCTGAATTGCTTGGGATTTGTCAAGCTGGTGTTTTTGTGAGAAGAGTCACTGCTAACACTGCTCGGTTAGCTTTACAGATGTGAGCTTATCATCAGCTGCTAAGAGGCATGTGAATTCCTCAGGCCCTGGGCTCTGGCCCCCAGTGTTTCTACAAAGATAGGAAGAGAAAGACAGGGCAGGTGCAGGTGTGGCGCCTTACATCTTGAAGTACATGATGATTAGGCTGAGAAGACTCATGTTACTACTCGTGTGAAAAGATCTCATCCATCAATGGTAGATTGAGCGGGAGGGACCAGAAAGAGAAAAGGAATAAAGCCAAACACGATTTCCAGTTACATTAATGTATTTAGTTCATATACAGTAGACCTACAGATGAGGAGAAAGGCTTATCATGTCTCATTGCCTAAATGTGAACGTTTGGTCATGTGATAATTATAACGGAGACAGTATGATGCAGTTGATGTTATTTTTTCAACAGACCTATAACTACATAACACACAAAAATGTATAAAATCATCAGAAAGCAGTTTGAAATGATGATATACTGTATGTTGTGACACTGCCTCTTCCAGTGAGGCTCAGGTCTGGATTCAGCTTCAATAGTGTGTATTTTTAAAGTACAGGATGCCAGGCTATCCATGTGATCTACAATTTTTGGCACAAGCACAGCGTACGATTTTAGATTTCATGGTTTTGACTCCTCTATTTTTAATATGTTAATTCAGGATAGGAAGCTATAACACAGCACTCCCAGCGGTTATATGTGGTCTGTGGACCTGTAGTTCAGGATGCAAGCAGGATAGGTTTTGATTTCTTTTTTCCAAGTCTATTCTAACACAATACTGGTACATGTATGTACAGTGAAGGAGTTTTTGGTGACTGTAAGTGTCCCTCCTCCTCTGAAGTGATCATATTCCCCCCCTGCATCACGAGGTTTATCTAAAGATCATATGAGACTTCAGGAGTGAGTGTAAGCCAAATCAACTGGGTTTCTTTTTAGGAGCCCACCTACTTCCCTGTTGCTATCCCTCCACTGCAACTCAGCAAGAAAACACAAAGGGACTTTTGCACTAAAAAGACGGTGAGAAGACGTCAACTTTATGTCATCTGCTCATATTAGCTTCAGCTTCAGTAGCTTTGAAGATGTTAGATTGAAGAAATTTACTGCCATTCCTCTGTAGAGGAAAATGAATTTCAAAGTACACTGAAGATGGCAAACACAATATAAAAATAACAATGTGAATGACGGCATCGTTGCAAGTTATTGTTTTTGAGACACGCTTAGAGGAAATGTGTTGAAATGGCACATTACACTAAACTGGCGCTCTGATATGAAGAGCAAATAAACAGCCTCTGTTTTGTCAACACAACTTCCCACACAGTGCTTCTGTAAACTCAACACATGTAATCTAGTTCTGGCTCGTCTCCAAGCTGAGTGGATGAAGACACAGTGGTAGATGAGTATGCTGTAAACTGTGTGACTGTGAAATGTTTGTGAATATAACAAAAAGCATGAGAATGAGTCCTTCAAGGAGACAAACCTAAAATACAAACCTCCTGTCAAGCCAGCTTTGTTGTTGCTGCTCTCGTTTTTCTCCTTCAGCGATTCCACTGAGGTCTTGTTGGAGACGATGCCTTCGTCATCAGTTTTCTCCTCCATGCTCAGCTCCACAGGCGCAGGAAGACTCTGTTCAGCGTCAACCTGTTTGGGTTTGTACTCAGAGCTGTGTGGAGCTGCAGACTCAGCGCTGGGATCAACAACAGATTTATCAGCTGTGAAGGACAACAAAAGCAAACCACATAGCCTTTTGAGTGAAATATTAATGGTGATTTTTTTTTATTTTAAATCTAGTTAATGCAACAAATAAAAATGGAAAGAAAATGTAGACAAATTAACACATAGCTTGACTCATATTGGAATATCTGAGAAAAACCCAACATTCATGTCATGTCATTGTAACAGGAAGCTGCAATAAATGAATTGTGCAATGTCGGTGGGACATTTCTTTATCATTTTGAACTTCTATGACATTGAGGGTTCGCTTGTTGACTTGATGTGTTCTTAGCTGCCACATATAGGAGATTTTCAATCTGAAGTCAGGGCACGCCCGAAGCACTCACCCCTTCCTCAACCAATCATAATTTACACCACCAAGAAAAACTCACTTCCACTTCTGCTTTTCGTAACCTCACCCTATGCACCCGCTAGTATAGGATGGATCACACCTTTTATAATTCTTAATGGTTTATGAAGTCCGGTGAAGGAGTCCCATTAATTCGCAAAAGAAAGCAAATGTGTTTCTTTCAGTTTGCAAAACTACATCCATCCCATCACCTAAATCACAAAGAAGACTCATCCATATGTTTGCTGTATTTACACACACGACATATTACTGTTGGTCATTTATTTGGAGAGGTTTTTGGAAATACCTACATGTGAACCATAGTGATAGCAGTGTTTTTTTAAACATGTTTATGAGGTCTTTATTACTAGAACACTGTTATTATATCTCCTTCTTGGCCAAGTCTCAGGAACAAAAGGTATTTTAATCTCAAAGACACATTTCCTTATTAAGTAAAGTAAAAAGAACAGGTTCATTTTTCAGTTTCCTCTTACCAGATACCAAGTTTTCCAGTAACACTTACTATGCTTATCTGATTTGGTCATTTGAGGTTCTGTTAATCAGAAATGTAGTTGTTTTTGTCTTGTCTTGCTTGTGAATAGTTGTAATAGGCACTAGAGAGGATTAGTTTCAGAGGAAATTTGTTGTCACAGCAGTTTTTTTAATCCACAATTTGCCAAATGTACGACTGGTTTCTTCTGTGTTCACTGGACACACAGTCATCGTCGGCTAATTTGATGTCCTCGAGTAGAATCAAAACAGTGGTAATAAACACCGTTTTACTGCTGACAGTTTCATTAACTCTTTGCCAAAAGCAGGACAGAATCATTTGAAAAGTAGCTGCTTTTCAAAGTGGTCATCAGCCCTGTCCGTTTAAACAAGGTGTGCCTCCAGACAGAGGGACAGGCTCAGACATGACTACAGCTTTTACCTTTCAACTGGGGGGGGACTTCAGAGAAAAACAGGAGCAGTTCATATGTTCTCAGATTCTCAGACAAAAAAAAAAAAGGTAAAAAATAACACAAGAATAAGCATTTATGCCTACTTGCTGGAATACATTGTACTGTATGGCACCGAATGTTTAGTTAAATGTAGCATAAAATATACAATGTGTATATACAAATACAGCTAATGTAGTCCTATATTTTGGCTTTGTTATTTATAGTAACTTATTTTATGACCAGCTGCGTATAAGCACAAAGGCTTTGGTATGTTTTAATAGAATTTAAACCACACTCACTGACACTATATGGAAAAATTACAATCTGCTTAACAAACCCCCAATGCCAGCTGCGTTATAGTCGAAGTGAAGAGGCTTGTAACGTATTAACCTGACTTTGATTTCCATCAAGTGGTGCACATGAGTACTGCAGGACACTTTTTAAATTTTTTTTTCCTCCCTTCAAACTAGGAAACAGTTTGCTCACACTTTCCATCACATCTATCATTTTCTGTTGAAGTCCTTAACTGATCTGGGCTCATTTACATGTGTCCTGTGTGAGTCAGGCTGCCATATATGTCAGACTTCCTTTTTATAAAATTCACAGAAACTGTGGTGACAGTCAATTCATGAACACACTCTGGTTTTATACACTCACTGGCCACTTTATTAAGTATACCTGTTCAATTGTACGCACTTCAATGCAACACTTAGTCCTTAAAATCTGTGCTTATGAAGCTGAAAATGTTTGTTTTTGGTAAAACTGTCATACTGAGCTCATAGTTAAAGGTGGTGTTGTACTACATTATATTCATATTCATTCATTATATTCTCATATAATGTAACTAGGCAGGCCAAAAATATAGAGACCTCTGAATCTAATGTAGTCCAGTACAACACCACCTTTAACTACGACCCCAATAATAAACATATGACCGAATTTTTACATTTATGACAATTTCATTGAAGTGCAAACAGTTGTACAGGCGTGCCTATTAAAGTGGCCAGTGAGTGTATTTGACAAAGCTCTTTAACATATGATAAAGATTAAACATTTTTATATTTGTATTAGGCTGTCATGAAGTTAAGATTTCCATATTCTGTAGGTTATTCCTGAAGGACTCTGGACATTCACATAATCTCACAACATCTCAGACTTAGTATACAGTATAGTGCAGAGAACTGTCATAAACTGTTGTTCCTTTTATTCAGTTTAACTGTTCTTATAAAACAGGAAGGAAAAAGATTAGCCCACAAACCACATTAAAAAACTTGATCTATAACAAATATCCTTCCTTTCTCTTCTGAGGTCTACTGATAGAATGGAAAATACTGATCAGACACATTTGTTCTCACCTTTCTGCTCCTCCTGCACTTCTGGTTTTGCCTCTGGTTCTTGTGACTCTTTTTTAGTGGTTGCTGTATTTTCAAAAGTTTGCAGACCTAAAAATTGTACAATGATCAGGGTTTATACCATCTTTGCAATAACAATATGACACAATCTGTTAAAAATATGCAGAATGTATTTTTTTTTAAGGACAGGTATTCTCTGTAATATTGTTGTTGATAGACATGGGTGTGTGTTCAAATGACCGTTCTGAGAAACACTGTCTATATGCAGCTCAGGCTCCACGGTGCTAAGAGGGATGTTGGCTTCATCTGGTCTGGAAGTGAGGTCGACAGAGTAGCGCTGTAGGAACAGGAGATTCAAAACACAATCAGTTCAGAGCAGTTCTCGAACTATCTGAACAAACGTGATTAAGTTATGGGGCATCATGGTGAGTTATTCTAGCGCGGTAGTGGACTCTACTCACCCTTTCTCTCCTCTTCCGTAGAAAGCAGCAAGCAATTACAAATACAACAGCTACGGCGATGATCACAACTAAGATGCTAATGCCTGAAAGAGGTAATAGTCATGTTTACAAAGAGGAACACATTTGCTAAGACTGTTGATGTGCAATGTGGCTCCAGACAAAATAATCTATTGTGGGTGCCTATACTTATTGTATGGTTACGCCTTCAAAATACATGGTGGATTAAGATCATCCAAGATGTGCATTTAAATGCAACTCACCAATGGTGTCACCTGATCCTCGGCGGGCAGGGGAGGTGGTGGTGTCTATTAAAAAAAAAAGACAGAGAGAAAGGTTTACTTCAAACAGTGTCAATGGAATAAGAAGTTGGACTGCAAGTAGAAATCTGATACTTAATAAAAGAGTTAGAACTACTTCAGTCCATTATAAATTGCATTTAAGTGGTTTAAAGCAGAATTAACAGATATTTTGGCCATTTTGTTGTAGAGGAACTGAAAATACATAAATTAAATATCACCCAAAATACTTATATGGCTGTGTTGACAAAAATAGTCTAATCACACATTCAAACATAGAGCAAACAAAAATAGTCTAATCACACATTCAAACATAGAGCAAACAAAAATAGTCTAATCACACATTCAAACATACAGCAATATCTGAATTCATTTACGGCTCAGTTTTGTGATGAATGTAAGTTCAGTATTAACTTGGACTCTACCAACTCCTGAGGGAAGCATCCAGCTTTGCAGCTACTAAATGATCCACTAGCTGCCTGCTAACTTTGTCAGACCTAGTACTTAGCAGACATTTTATAATGGGTTTATCAGAGCTTTTTAACTAAAAGCAGTGAGACTGGAGGTTGGTGAAGGCCATGAGTGAATCTAAACAGTAAATGGTCTGGGCTGTAAAATCAAAATGAGCTGAAAGATGCTAAAATGCTTTGTAACTCACGTTTGTTCCTGTCAGTTGTGCTAGTGGCAGTTTTGCTTTTAGGTGAAGTAAAGGGTGCGGGTGTGGTCACGGACACTGTGGCATTCTGGGAGACGCCTTCGCCACCATTCGACGATTCATCATCTGAATCTGAGGAGCATGTTAATCCACAGGTGATACAAACAGGCACAATCATAAAAATAAAGAAAACAATCTCTGACAGAGCTGTTTTTGGTGAAACCAACATTTATGGGTTCACATACTAGGTTAAAAATTGTTTGAATAACAGCTTTCACCTTCCTGCCTTGTGGTCGAGGGATTTGTGGTGCTGCTGACATCAGTGATGTTCGTGTCATCGGTGATAGCAAAGTTATCGGGGAAGATGCCTGTGTCGTTGGAGCTGGTGATGTTGGTGGTAGCAGTATTAGTGATACTGGTAGTGGTGATGGTGACAGGGTGCGTTACATTGCTGGAATTATTGCTGAGGTTTTCTTTGTTCACGTTACTATCTGTTGTTTGATTTGCTACAGCAGAAGCCACAACCAAACCTGCAGGAGACAAGACAACACTTTTCAACACTATCTGATCATTCAACACAAAATACCAATATTTAAGCATGAAACCTTCGTTAGTAGGTCTAAAAATTCAACAACCTTCACTGTGGATTAACAAATTTACTTTGTTAAATATTAAGGTGTGGCCCTGTTTACTTAGTAATACCTTACTCATGCAGTGTTTCAAGTACAGCATAAAGCAGTCTGGCTTTAGGTTTTCATACATTATTAATCATTTTTAACACATTTTTCATTTATATTAATTGTTTTTAATTCACTATTATTATCAACAATGTATTACCTGAACCCAGAGAAAATTTTTGAGGCACAGGGCTTTCAGAAAAATGTTTTACTTTTATATGGAGAACAAACATAACACTTATAAAATTAAAGACTAATACAGTGAAATTATGTACATTTTCATACGTGTAAACATACAGTATAAGGAGCCTTACCCAGGATCAAGAAGGCGGGACCGACTGATGGCATTATAAGTCCTTTGATGGCAGGTAAAGAAAATTTACAAAGATGATATATTATCAGCACTCTCTTCCACAAGGTGATGCCTTCAAATGCCAGTTCTCTTTCTGAATGCCTCACAGCGTTGCATGCTAAGGAACCAAAAAGAGGACCAACGACTCTGACCACAGCAGGATGCAGTGTTGCTCAAATGGTGCTAAGTGAGAGGAAATATACAACCTATATGTTGCTTCACACTTGACTCTGATCACAGAACAACATGAGGTAGCAAATATTCTTAGCTTCTCTGTAAACCTTAGGTTTAGTGAACAATATGTCCTTTTGTGGCAGCTTTATTATCTGCCAGAGCATCTAATATTTAGGATTCATTTGTCAGTTTAGGTTTCAACTTATTTCCTCTAAGGAATTATAAAGATATAATTACAAGTTGTATCTCTTTCTTGAGAAACTGAGTTTGCAAAATAGGTTACAAAACAGGTCCACTTCTTCCACTGCTGCCAGTTTTAGTTTCTGCTCACCAGATGTCGCTGTGACTAAGGGAAAAGATGTCAGCTGCTTTCTTTTCCTACTTAAGGCAGAACCAATTCTAACTTTAACTCAACTTATTTCCTGTCTGATATGCTGTAAAAGAAATGATGTATAAAAGCTTCAAAATATACCATGTTTTAAAGTTGTCCTGTAGATTTTATTTAAATATTAAATATTAATAATAATATTGTTG